TAATACGGTACGCATCTTGCATGCTGAAAAACAAGGCAATACGGATCATCGGGGTAATTAGGATCAGTACACCCGGGAGTTACTTGTGAAGAAAAACCGAAAGTTCTTTATTAAAATAAAACAAAGTTGCATAAAAACGTTTTATGTTATTGGCAAGCAACGGGAAGTGCAAAATTGAGGCTTGATTAGAAAATTAAGAGCAGCAGGATCAAGTAAAAAGTTTCCGATAAATCAACAATTTCCCGTGTTTATCATTCATCATTCTCCAACGGATTTTGGATATACTGATTAAATGCTGGTATAAAAATTACATGAAAAAATAATATTTAATGTTAGACAATAACGAAATGAATGAAATGCTCAAAACCGCGTTTGTGCTACGTTCAGGATTATATTGTTCGAAAAATAAGTGTAAACAACTTCCGTCGCAATCTCATAAAGTCTCGGCTCGAGGATGTAACATGTAGGTCGGATGTACTCTGGAGAAAATCTCACTGCGTCACAGCGGTAAGAAAGAAGATTTAGGGAGTGCAGGACCATGGCGACAGAACTCGCCACGGGCGGTGAGTTTAAATGTGGAAGGACCAGAAAAACTTAGAGAATTGCCGAGCGGATTCATGATGAATATGAAACCGGAATGCGTTAAAAACTCCGTCGCCGCAACGTCATCCGTTGCGACTTTATCCCTTTTGATGAACGTGAATTTTTAACTTCATGTATCAGCACTCCTCTAACTCACATCAGCTTTATTACGTTAGAACGGTAGACTTGCAAACTACAAAAAATTTCATCTACTTCGCGGATGTCTCTAAAGTAATATTTTTGCTTAAACTTTCTAAAATCTTTTGATTCTTCATAGACATCTGAAATTGAAAGAGAAAAAAAATATATTTACATAACTTATATAATAATTATATTAAAATTTATATAATATGTAACGCTATTATATAATATATAGTGCTATTTTTTATAAGATAATTACTGAAATTTATGTATCTGTTATTGTAATGCAGTTTTATTTAATGAGAGCGAAAAAATCTAATTGTGAATAGAAACGCCGGATGTATTTAGCCGCATCTGTTAGAATTCTATACATTATTGGACCAAGAATTCGAGGTATCTATCAGAAAATTTATTCTCCGAAAGATGCGGGCGAGGGAGAACAATATGAGAGATGCTTTTAGGATGAGTATAAGATGTAAATGCATTAAGGTGGAAGAATGCGACAGTAAACGTTTCACGTAGGGAGCTGTGGCACCTTCTGGCGCACAAAATTGTAGTTATCGTTAAATTTTCGCGGAAATGAGCTTACGGACGAGCTTATAAACCGGCCGGATAATTCCGGCTGTAGAAAACTGTCTTGCCAGCGTGAGAAAAGCTCTGGTCGATAAACTGTTTCGTCGTGCCGCTATTCTAAGATCGCGTTGAAAATAAGCGGTGCTGGATAACGGGCGGGGGGCTAAATATAGCCGAGCGCCGTGGTGGTCGACCGCTATTTCGTGCACGAACATGAGGATTTTAGATCAACGATCCGCCTTCTTCCTTTTGCAATCAAAGAGTGCGACAGCGATTTAGCTCGCTTTCTTAAACGAAGTATATGTCTCAATCTAAATTTAATATTCACAACTTTAAAATCAATTTTTACGTGCTTGAAAAAGAAAAGTGAGCTGAAATAATATGCATTGAAATCTTGTTGATTGTACATTCTACGTTTATTCCTTTGCATTAAATTTGTACATACAAAGTTTACATGAATACAAAATTTTACGTCAATGTTTTCGGTATTAGAGAAAGCTTATTTGAGAATGAAAGCACGGGTACGATATCCAATGTTACCGAATGTTTTCTGTCAATGGAATTTTCTGTGTGCACGGTCCAATAATTCCGTCCAATCCACTATGCGTACAAATGGGAAACAACTCCGCTGTGAAAGTCCGATTTCCTCTATTTATGTTTCTTTTTTCACGGGGTTACCATTCGATTATTTGGATTAGATGTTGATATATAGTTTGAAATCGAAAAAGAAAAGCAACGAGTAATATGTGAAAAACGCTTAGGGAAAATATATAATATTTACGATCAACAGGCAACGATTTGATCGTTCGCGATATTTCTGTCACACGATTGTATATTTGTATTAAACTATAAAATGATAAGAAAATAATATCTCGCGATGCGTTTGCGTCATTTGGCGCAGTATTGTTCGCAGCAGAGCTATTGCAGGTCGCTGCCGCGCTGGCAGATTGAATAGGAATTTCCGTTGATCCGCCCCGACGGAATGCATATTAATGTTGACATTAAGCAGGAACGATTATTAAACGGTCCTCGTTACGCATATCATGTCATTCTGTTTCTATAAAACGGATAATTGGAAATCGGCTATCGAATTCATTATTTTACGCTTGGGGGAGAACAATATTGTGCCACTAATATTATAGCGTAATATTATAGCACCAATACTCTATAATTTTAACTCAGGCTGCGTTCCACTTAACGCTCACAACGCTCGTGGAATCATTTCATTCTTGTCGTTTATCAAATGTTAAACAAGGACAAACGATGTTCGCGAGCGTTGCGAGCGTTAAGTGGAACGCAGCCTTATGAAACTTTTTCACATCGGTATAAATACGCTTGAGAGAGTAAAATTATCGGACGCCAAATTCCAACGATTACAACTGTGGCTCGAAATAATCAACTAAAATCTCTTTGAAAACCTGTTTTTAATTTTTAGCTTATGATATTAAATTAAAGTTTTTTATATTTTCCAGATTTGTTATTTAATAGTTGATCTATAAAATAATATCTGTTATATATTAGATTAAGATTTTTTATATATTTTCTAGATTTATTAATAAATTGATTGATGAAGTCTCTATGATATTAGATCAAAATTTTTTTATATATCTTCTAGATTTATTATTGAATAGAGAGTAAATCGATAAAAATAATATCTCTGTGATATTGAATCAAAATATTATTTTACATTTTCCAAATTTACTATTTAGCTGTATATATATAAATATATATATGTATAATATATATATGTATAAATAAATCTAGAAGATACATAAAAAAATCTTGATCTAGTATCATAGAGAAATATTACTTCATCAATCAATTTATTAAATATAATTTTTTAAAAGCCGCTTTTTTCAAACTGCTGGAAAAAAACCCGAAAAATTTCGGTTTTTTTCCGAAAAATTGGTTTTTTGGAAAAATTGCTGTTTTTGCTATGTAAAAGACATAATAAGTAACTTCTAAACTCCTTTATAAAATTAATGCGATCTATGAAATTATGTAGCATTATTTTTATTAAAATTTTTCAGTTATCCTTCTATTTTTATAGTAAAACCTAATCTAATCTTCCTTTAGTACGTGGCAAGCTTAAGAAGACAGATTTTTAACTCTAGTTTGTCACACTCCGGTCTAATGAACTCTTGAAGTGTCTCTTTGTAGTTTATTTTTTTTCATATATTTTGTTACGAATTCAGTTTAAATCCAAATTATTTTCTAGACCTACTATTATATAAACATGATGTTTGGACATCTCTATATTTTTAATTCTTACATATTAATGGTGCAATAGTGTATGTTTTGTATGTTTTATTGAATATATTATGCGACCTCAATCTTTTATACAATTTCAAAATTTCTGTTAACTTATCCCGCCATGTACCCTGTATGCAATTATTTTTTTTACGGAAAGAACCGAGAAGCAAACGTGGTAAGTTTTACGAATACGCGTGAATTTTTCCAAAATGAATTTGGACACCCTTGGGGAAAAAATCGAAAAAATCTGCGGAAAAATTGAAAAAATTGGGTTTTTTTTCAATCCTTTAAAACTATATTATTAAATAATAAATCATATCAGATAATATATAATCAAATATGTAATCAAATAATAAATGTATACATATATATATATATATATATATACAGAGAGTCTCACGACTACCGCATTTCCTCTTGACACATTCTTGAGGTAATTTTGAGACGAAAATCCTAATACGAAAATGTCGAGACTACAATAACTTTTTAAATTACAAGCTAACTTTAAACGCTTCTAAGTCAAAAATCATTTTACTTTTATAGCCTCTATTATTATTTCTGGATTCTTTTGAACATTCTAAGACGAAAATCCTTATATGTAAATATCGAGGCTACAATAGTTCTTAAATTACAAACTTTCTTTAACCAATTATAATTTGAAAACTATCGTAGCCTCGACATTTTTGTATTAGAATTTTCGTCTCAAAATTACCTTAAGAATACATTCTTAAGAGGAAATGCGGTAGTTGTGAGACACCCTGTATATATATATATATATACACAAATAATGTCTCTACTAATACGACTTAACACATATGATAATAACATAAAAAAACTAATGCTACAATAATACAGGCATTTTATAATATGTAAATTATTTTGCAAACACGTAAGTAACGTCTGCGAAACGTATTCAATGATTTTGTGAGGAATGCAAATTGCGGAAGATGACACGTTTGAAATTTTCCGATTGCAAATCCATGCGTTCGTTCTGTGTACTTTGTGTGCTTTCCACCGAAGATCGTTCGCCGAAAACGAGCCGCCGGAAATCGAAGGTCTTCTCGGCTAAGTATAGCTCGCGCCGCGCGAGCATAAGTCTGGCCGGTGACGTCGAAAAGTGTCAGTATATGCTGGATCTCGTGTGAACCAACCGATTCCAGAGACGCGACGATCCAAAACGTTCTAAATAGCGACTCACAATTGTTATCGCCGGAAGTAATCTTTTGTTCGTGACACATGCCAAGTATTTTAGATATTGTCATTGTCGTTGGCACCAATCGCGACACGCGGATGGATGATCGATAACACCTCGTGCGAGACGCGAGTGGAACGAGAGCCGAAGATCGAAGATCCAACTCGTGATCAGTCCACGACAAATTAGCGGATCGTCAACAAGGGTAGAGTTTTAAAACTGTGAAAGTGCGCTCAGCTCGGATAAGCTTGTACTTTGTGACTGAAAAATACGAATGGGTATTTAAAGTTGATTTAATTTTTAACTAGTTTTATACGATAATTCCTTTAACGAAAGATCACCGTCTAAAGATATCGTCAAAAGTTTTCGTCTCAACAGAAGAAGTTCATTTTGTTTTAACTGTTTTAAGGATATACCTATCAGTATAGTCTCTACAAAAAGTGATTGAAATTGGAAATTCATATTTTCCATATAAAAATAAATGCTAGATACATATAAAACAGTATATGGTAATAAGGTCGATTTATGTTTAACAGGACAGTTTTAGAATGAAAATTTAAATGAAAATTTTCTCATTTTATTTTAATTATTTTTTAAAAACTTGCCTACTTCTTATTGAAATAATTTTTGAACCAGGTTTTAAATTGTTAAACTTTTTGTATTATTTTCATGTATAATATAAAAAACTGTTTTCATAATTTTTCATCTTGATAAAAAAATACATGTAATACATTTTTAAATTTAAGTAGACAATTCCCTGGCGAAAACAACGCTCTGAAAATCATTTTCGTGAGATGAAAATTCGAAGGAGATATGTTGATTTAGGAAAAGTAATACGGCGAGATTCCAATTTAAAACAGATCTCTTCATTGTAAAGCTTTAATTAAAAGATTTTAAAAGGTCTGGAAAGTGAACGTGTTTTTCAGTGTTAAAAGTGTCTTGAATGACGTGGGAAACAAATTTGAAAGTGTATGTGTGCTTTCTCCATTTTGGTCTCGAAATGCGGAGATATGTCCAGTATCCTTAATGTCACTGTCTGCCCGAACGAAATTAGGGAGATTTATTCTCTTCGTTTGCGTTTCAGAGCGGGCGTGCCTGGGATTACGAGACATTAGTCGCTACACAAATTACGTGCTGTGCACTGCGGCGGGAGAAATTATTCGACATGTCCGTCGCTCTATGAGCAATTTAGGATTCGTTGATTAGACACAGGTGCACAGCAGATCCTCACGATCATTCAGGATCTAGACCGGTCATTAGGTTCATCGAATTTAGGGGTGCAACTGCTTGACCATAATAATTCACGATTGTAACTCACACTAATTTATTGTTGATATGCACGAAAAACTCATTAGTTCAGAGATCCTTAATCTACGATTCAAACTTATCTTTAACAAACTCGATACATTAACCAGTCTAGAAACTTTTTCAAAATGATTTAAAAAAAATAAAAATAATTCTAACAAGTAAATATTTAATAATAATATTAATAAACATTTTTAATTTAATAAATATTTAATATGAATTAATATATACTGTTTTTTTAGTAAATCTGTATAACGTAACGATTATTTAGCTTAATAATTGTTGCTATTAATATATTCGAATTTTAATGAACCACGATATACATAAATTAATTACGCAAATGGGATAAGAATATTATAAAGGCAGATTCAAAATTGAATGAACAAGGAGTAAAATACCGCAGTGCTATTTTGCAGCCATTTTGTGAGCAACATAAATTATAAATTTAGATTTCTGCGAAATCTCTTTCTCTCTAGCTCTTTCTGCCTGTCTTATAATATTCAATTATACCGCGTATCTTTCAGGGATGTATTAGACGAGAAAAGACGACTTAAAATAGTCTGTTTTTGAAATGACGCCCACAAACATTGCCGCACGTGGACAAAGGAAAAAGCTGAATCATTCACGACGCTGTTTATTTTGCTGCAAGAGAATAATGATGTGCCACGTGTGCAGCCTCGTTTCATGAAAGTACGACAATCGGAATTTCCGAATCTGTATTACGCGATGCACTCATTGTGTTCTGTAAACCTGATATCTGCACAATATTAGAAATTAATATCACGTTTTTATATTCTGTATTTTATTTTTTCCTCGTATATTTTATACATTTATATATGTAACAAATTAATTTCTTGCCTTTGCCGTTACAAGTTATATAAATAACGATACAAGTTTCCTTATTTCATTACTTCCTACTTTTAAGGAAATTTAATATCGTAAATTAGTGATTAATTACTTATTTTGAGTATTAAAAACATTGTTGTTAGTGCTTTGAATACTCAAAATAAGTAATCAATCATCAACCAATTTATAAACTTACAGTATTAAATTTCTCTAAGGGTAACTCAATGTCAATACCAAAATTGATAAAATCAAACACGCTTCGGATATAATGTCTTATTGATTATAGATATACAGTGAGTGTAAAAAGTATTTGTACAGAAATAATATTTAAAAATAATTTTATTTTTTATAAAAATAAATATTATCCAGCGAGAAATTAGTCATTGAATTGATGTCGAATTGATATCGATACGATGATTTCAACACCAATTTGACATCGATTTGACGTTTAATTGACGATCATTTCTTGCTGGATAATTAATTTATTCATAAAGAATAAAATAGACTGTATGTTTCTTAAAATTATATATACTAAAAAAATATGTATTAATTAAAGGAAATATATCATCTGAAAAATAAGCGAAAATTAAAAATTGTATTGTTTGAATGTTCAAAAAGTATTCGTACAGTCGAGAAATTTAGCTTTTAAAATCAGGAATACATGCGAAGCTCGTTTGTTTATGTTAGAACAGAATGTATTCATTGTATAAAATTGCTAATTAATGTTTATTTTCTGCAAATAAGACCTTTTTTTATAAAAAATTTTCTTGTACGAATACTTTTCTTGCACTCACTGTATAAATAAGACTAGATAGTGGTTTAGTAATTAAAGTAATGGTACGTATAAAATAATATGGACAATCTGAGATGGTATTATGTCTTTCTGACCTGATTGCTATTACGAATAGTCTCATAAAAGATCTCGGAGATACATGGGGTACGGTCATAAACATTATTCACGGTAGTTTCCAGTGAAAACGCTACTCGAAATTATTAGACTACGCTGGGGACTCCTTTCGAAAGGCCAGAAAGTCCCCATGATCCACCACGAAATATGATCATACAATTAAAGCTTGATGAAACGAGGACTTTAATAATGTGGGTGGGTATCTCCTAGAGTGGAGGGGGTAAGTTGCTCGACGAAGTTTCAAGGCTCACAGTCAAAGTGTCAGAATTAGCATCCCGTTTCATCCTCATGGCAACGCCCATGAAAGTTGCTAATACAATAGTTACTCGCCGCCTGTTGCACTCCAACATGCACATGAAGAGAAAGAGTGAGGAGGACGGGGGAAAGTTCGCTTTAAGATCCAACAAGTGGTTCGTCTGGGAGTAACAATACTTCCTAATGTATTAGCTTTTGCCATTGTGCACGATCGGTCCACGACGTTGGCGACCTTCGACGTCGGCGACGTCAGTACGGAGAGAGTTGCGAAAACCAAAACGAATTTGGCTCAACATCTAGCTACGTACTCGCTAACGTTTCAAACAATTTCTTTGAATCTCTCCTGTGTGATATTGACGCACGCGTGTGCGTTCTATGAGTGATTTACTTAAATTTATTTCGCCGTCGAGATTTTATATTTCATTAAGAGGAACATTATCACATATGTATCTTTACGTTTTGATCGTTTAATTAGTCGCAATCGAGAGTACCATTAAGATTTATACATTTTTAATTTACCATTAAATTGAATTAATTGCGAAATATAAAATGAAAAAGAAAAATGAAAAAAAATTAAAATATGCTACGTACATGCAATATAATATGTATGAGCAAGTTTAATTTATAGAATACAAAATTTGCACAAAAAAGTATTAGCTTTACTTCAAAGTATGCGTCTGTGTAAAATATTTAAGTTTTAATAATATAAAATTTTATAAAGAACATCTCTTTCTTTTTGTAACATAAAGATAAAAAAGTTTTTTAATAAAATTACATGGCCGTATACGTTAAAAAAATATTAACAATCAAGAAGAATTGGGAATTGAGAAATTCTTTGTTTTCCTGAAGATATCCGAAAATTTTAATAAGATTTAAATGTTTTTATTATCTAAGTCTAAACCAACTTTTTGATTAACAAATGTGTTTGCGTCATTGAAACGATAGAATCTTGGATATTTTACGAGGAGACCGGATCTGATTATCTTGTGTCTTATGGAATTATAATCGACATTGATCGAGTGCTTCCGTAACAGAAAAAGAAATGATATAGACCTCGTGAGTTTTTTTATAGAATTCTCAGAATCGCAACGTGCGTCACGCTCGTAAAGTCTTTAAAATTGACTCGCTCGGATACAATTTTCCAAGTGAACAATTCTGATACAAATTAATAAAGCTGCTTAACTAATTTGCACAAAAACAAAATTTTATAGTATAAAAGAATTTAAAAATTCTAACACAAGAAATACAGATAATGTCTTTGTTCTGTTAAGATAGCTAAAAAAAAATAGAAGAGAGAGAATTTAACTTAAAATAATAAAAGTGAAAGAGAACAGAGTAGGGAAGAGATGAAAAATGTAAAGCAATAGAAAAAGAATAAGTTAGAATTATTATTAATTTATTTAAAAACGCTTATATTAAACGCGTTAAATTAAATCTATATACAAACGATATTTTTACTGTGAATATGCATCGCGCTAAATAAAACATTCACTTCGCGTTAATCGCGATTATCTCGCCTACTATGAACCTCATACAAGCGTGATAATTAATTCGTGGATTGCATTGGTAATCATTCACTCATTAGCGACGTTCAAATATTTATTACGGTTGCCGCGGTTTCCGGATCCGCAATTCTACTCATTTCGAGTTGAACGTTACAGTCGATCTGTAATATATCACGATCTAATATTATTAAGCATGATGGTTACATTTTACGAAACTATTTCTACGGTCGATAAATTTCTACAATTAGATAATACATATATATCGTTATTTTTCAATCCGTCAAAGTTGAACTTATACGATTTATGATCTCAAGTCGTTAAGACTATGATAACAAATCATTCCTTTACTTCAAAAGTGACACAAAATTAAACTCTAAAAAATTAAGTTTTTCTGAAAGATCTATATATTTTTCAAATTAACAGAAGATTATTCATTAATGAAATATCGGAATATGATCAATTGTCGTTTTATTTTTGTTTTATAACCCTTAAAAAACTTTTAATGGTTTTTAAATCGTCCCTTTTAGAATTCAGTGGTACAGCAAACCTATAACTTACTGCGCGAATTCAATATCTGTAACTAAGAAGATTTAATGGTTTAACAAATCGCTAATGTTATTCAGCTGTCAACTTTGCTACTTTAACATAGAAAATTGACTGTCTGTATATTACGACTGTAGATTTGCTGAATTAGTGAAGTTTTCAGCTGTTTTTTTTTTCGTGCTATATTGATGATTTTTTATGAAGTTAAGTTAATTTACTTTTAATGATTGATATGACAGTTTTTTTACTTAACATTTATGATAATACGTAATACTCGAAAATCACGTTTTTGAGCGTACTTTTAAAATAAGGGAGCAAAATTTTACAAGTATTTAAAGTTATAATTTTTATTCTCATTGTCGGAGCTTTTCTCATCGAAAGCTTCTGTGAATTGCAAATAAAGAAAGTATTCAAACTATTGGAAGAAAAATAAGATTCTTCTTCTTGCGCCCACAACTGTGATTTAATTACCAAAAATTTCAATATAATATACGTCGCGAGAAGTTCTCAGAGTTGCCCCCCTGAGTCCACCCATCTCTTTACTACCAAATTTACGTTGATGATTCATCGTGTCTTAAAATAGAAGTCCAATGACTCCACAAAGATCTTGACATTGTCTTGGCAATTATGGTATACTGTATATATTGAAAAATAATCGTAAAATTGTTTTTGTCATTAAATTTGAACATTGATTTTATCACGATTTAACTGTTGAATATGTACAACTGTTGAGTAGCAATATAACGAATTAATTATTTTATAAGTAGGATATACAATGTAAGTGATAAATATAGATTAGGTAAATTCAATCATTAATAAAACAATTTAATCGATAATATTAAAATCAATAAAAAATATATATATATATAATATTATTTTCAAGAACGTCCTTTTTCAAAATTCTGTCACGAGAGAGAGAACTGTATTGCTGCTGACAAAGAGATACTTAAAAATTTATTTATGACATATAATGTTTATTTCACTGAAATAAATCCTTGTTTAATTACGGCAAAATAAAATTTTATTTCTAAATAAACCATTTGTATCTTTTTTTCAATTAGAAGTATATTTCACAGAAATGTATATTTCGTCGTTAGGTATGGTCAAATTTTTTATAACTAATAAATATTGAAAACGTCATTTAACTAAATACAGATAATTTTATTGGATCTTTAAAATAATTATTTAGGATGTTTAGGCATGATAAAAACGCTTTAAAAAATTTGGCATTTTAGTCAATTTGAATGCTTCATATACAATTATTTTGACAATCCAACAAAATTATTTTTGGATTTGTATCATAGCTAAATTTTTAGATGCTTCACCGTTCTTTTCATATGAATGTATGAATGTATAAATATCGATCCAGTCACATGATACCTGATGCAAGAACACTATCAACTGCTGTTTCCTCAATCGCTTAACACGTGGCCGAATGAATAAGAATCTGGCAGCATTTGAATTTTGAACACTGTCTGATATAGTCGATATATATTCGCATAATCTATTTATTAACTATGACGATATCGAGTTAGAATAGTGCAAGATATCGAAATGTATTGAGACATCTTTGCATTCATTTTAAACATTTATTTATTTTTCTTTTAATGAGCAATGATGTTGAACTTTCAATAAAATATTATTAATCACATTAATATTAAGATAGATCTACTTTTAAATATGACAAAGAGATAAAAGCAGATTATGTTACAAAACAAAATATATATTAGAGTGTTGAATCAATTCGATGCTGTCAAAAACTGAATATTAATCCGACACATGTAACTTGTCTTATTTGATGTCAATGTATAATAATGTAAAGCATAAATTGAAATAAAGTTTTCTTCTTTTTAGGCATGGAGCAGTTTGAGCAGCTGCTAACCTGTGCGATATGCCTGGATCGATACAGAAATCCGAAGCTCTTGCCATGTCAACACAGCTTTTGCATGGAACCGTGCATGGACGGCCTCGTCGACTATGTTCGTCGACAGGTCAAATGTCCGGAATGTCGTGCCGAACATCGTATACCATATCAGGTAAATTATATCTTGATCCTGTTAAAACATAATTAGTTTATAAAAGCTTAAAATTATTAAAAATATTTTTTTAATTATTTCAAGAGAAAATTATTTATTTCGTGTCTCTGGTTTCGACTAGTTACATGTTGAAATATTATATATATATATATAAAATATCTATATATAATACATTATACATATATATCATGTTTTTTTAGAAAAACAACTTTCCGTAATTCTCTAAAAGTAATAAAATATATGAAAAGTGTATAGTATATATGCGCAAGCTGTCGCGATTCGTTCGTCGCAAAATCAATTCTCCAGCAATTACGTGTCGCTTTATTGGATTTATGTCTTTAATGTTTACGGTACGATCGGACGAACAGGAAAAAATCGATCTATGTTTTGTCGCACAAATTAAATGTTATTCTGTGCGTGTCAATGTAACCCGATGTGCCACTACGTGTAAGCTCATCTTTATTCAATGACGAGTCCAAACGCGAGAGAATTCTCATTAAACCCAGTGTATTCTCGCGTTTCGTGCTAATGTGGTCTTTGAACGGGTCTATTTTTTCAGAATAATTAAATGTATTTACATAAGCAGCTGCAGCAGAATTCTAAAATGTTTTCCGTTACAATCGCTGCATAATCAGTTATCCGATTGTATGTATTTTGACAAAAAAATCAAATGGTCTCAAAAAATATATATGTAAACATAAACGATATTTTATAGCCGCGTCTGATGCCCAAAAAGAATGATTTTGTACAAAAAAATTTTGACATTTTAGCCAATCAGCTTAAATGTCTTACATAATTATTTTGACAGTCCAATAAAATCATTTTCAGATTTGTATCTAGCTAAATTTTTAGATATTTCAGCAAAACCATCCTTTCTATGTATTAATAGTCAATTCATCCATCTGACACTCACATATTAGTATCTCCTCTAATAAAGAACGCGAGCGCGCGTTGCATAATTAATTCGCGACATTATGCGCGCAGTGTATCGATTCCGGTCCATTAATAAGCGGCATACTCGATGCATGTACACGTATTACGAGCGTTAATCGAGCCGAACATACATCCTGTTTGTAGGGCGTGCAAGCCTTTCCGACCAACGTGACACTGCAGCGATTCCTGGAATTGCATATCGAGATCACGGGAGAATTACCGGATCCGACCAGCGGTCAGACCATGGAACGCTGTGGCGTTTGCTCTGAGAAGAGTTACTGTCAGCTGTGCGTGCATTGCGAGAAGAAATGCTGTCCCGAATGCAAAGATGCGCACATGGATATTTTGAGACGCGAAATTACCCGCATCAATTCTCAGGTACAATGATATATATTTTCTGCAAATTTAGAAAATTGAGGAAAACAGATCGATGTAGCTGAAACCACGATTTAAAAAAAAATCTGGTAGAAATTGGGAGTAATGAGAAGATATTAGAAAAATAAAGGATATTAGTCAGTTACTTTAATAAGTTAATTACTTATGAATGTACTCTCTAAATTTCTTAGAGTGAAATCTCATTGAAAAAGAGTAAAAATTATCATTCCTTTTCAAGAAGTGAAATATTTTCACTCTTCTCCAAAAATTGCCGTATTTTCTTTTAAAGTGATATTTCACTTCAAGAAATTTAGAGAGTGTCAGAAATATCGATATCGCACAAATCAGTATTAAAACTGCAACTTTGAAGAAAGACGATGAATTTTAAGATTTCTTTTTATCATTGTCGTCTATGCAAGTGATAACCGTTGTCAATCAAATTTTCCCGTATTAAGACAAGCTCTGCCACAAGAAATTTTGCTGTGCCGATCGCAGAAACCAATTTAACCGGTTCTATAACTAATTTTCTCTTCGGTTCGTTGGTAGACGTAACGTATTTAGGAAAGCGGAAACTGTTGTGTTACGGTATCCGGTATCGGGGTGTACTTTAAATTCGTTACGTCGTGCCCTTCGGCGTCCCAACGGAAAATTTATTGCCGCGCAACTTCGCGCATTGCAATTAAGCGTGTATACGATAGGGACGTACGTTATAACAAGATTGCGACCTGAATTTTTCGTTTTTTGCTAAGAACGTGCGATATGAAGACGTTAGTTGAATTCAATAACACGTACAACAAATAAATACGAAATAAAATCTTTATTTAAATAAAAAGATCTCAAGCTTACGATCCAACGACTAGTTTTTATATTGTTAAACTTTTATATTACAAATACTTAATTTTATATTACAAATACCTCCGAAACTAATGTCAAAATCTATAACACAGTTACTGATTCTGAATTTGTGAGACCCATTTAATTAGTTGACACCAATTAATTTCAAGAAACCAAAATTAAAAATTACAAACTTATACAAAAAAGAATGAATAGTAAATTTATTTAATAACAATAATTCAAACTTATAGATGTAACTTAAGAAATATGGTTGATTGGGTCAAATAGACTCAGCTCCGGAGGATTAAATCTCAATTTCAGTTATATCTTGCACTTTAAAAGTTATGAATGTATAAGTATTATTATTTGTATCTGGAGATTCGTAGTATTTGAAAAATTAACTTATCCAAAACACTTAAAAAATTTAAGTGAAATAAAATAGAAGTGATGTGTTCTTTTTCGAGATAACAGTTCAACTGAGAAAAAGAAGCTATAACTCTTACACGTCGAAATTTATCATTCGATGATTCCGCATCAAGAACTTTGCAAGGCAAATTGTATGCATTGAGCGGGATGACGTTCGAAGATTGTGCGAATTCGCCGTTTGTCTCCAGGAGCACCTCGATGAATCACGTCTATTTCAAGTGACGGAATAAACTTCGAAGCGCGATCGTCTTTGAGACAGTCCAGAGACACTGAGATCGTGCTTCGACAAGCGGGATACCGCGCATGTAAGGCGCACAGATTTGTGAACATATTTCCATGATCAAAGTTGCTAACACGGCTCTGTCGAATCTGTCAGGTCGTCCTCTGTGCCATGGAAATTACGTGCGCGTGCCTGAAATATGGTCTGCTCTTCCTGTTTCCCGAGAATTTGATGCTGATCGCCATTTATATTTCATTATGTTTCACGATTATTCAGAAGCGCGGGCGTGGATCAATAAAGCAGACCGGATAACAGAAAAATTCGTTATTATATGTATTATAGAAAAATGCTTAACTTTGCAATTTTTTTAAAATTACAAATTAAAGCTCTAGTTTACTCATCACTACTATTTCAGACCGTGACGTCAATAGCGAGGAAATATACTATAAAAATTCTTGCAAATTATCTGATATCTAATATCTGAAATAGAGTAGTGGTGAGTCAACAGGAACTTTAAAATGTATGCGTCTTCCTTTGACCAAATTTTAATTGCAAAATTTTGCTGTCAAAAGCATTTGATTATGAATAAACTGCATTTATATAAAATATTATAGTTACATTTTTTTTCAAAGAAAAATGATTAGCTACAATAATTGGTAATAGAATGCGTAGATGAAAGATAGCACAAAAAATCTAGGACGCCCGGTGTAGGTACGTGAACTTTTTAATTACTTAATGTATTTACTGCGTGATAGAAAAATAAAAGTTTTGTACTCTCTTTGTGTATGCAGACGTTTATATTTCATTTCTACTGCTCGTTGTACATTTTCTATGATTTAATTAGTTACACTGGGAAAAAATCTGGTGACATAAATTGAAAATCCGGTAGATTTAATCAGTTTGTTTGTTGAAAAATGAATAGATCAAAATTTTTCTAAAAAAAAATATCAAATAAGCGTAATTAACTTTTTCCTGTTAGCTATCAGAATTAGAATTTCTGTATAAGGATACTAAATATATTTAATTAGATCAACATAACTTTTTAATAAAAAAAACTTTTTAGTGAGAAATTCTAGTGAATATAACTAGAAGTTTTTTATAAATCCAACCGAATTTCCTTCTCATTTTATTAATTAATAAATTGAGCTACGTTATTATTAAATTGTTCTTTAAGTTCATCAAATGTTTTACCTATAAAATATCCAGTCCAATCATGATAATTGAAAATTCTATTTGATTTTAATAAAAAGCTTTCTATTATATATAGGTACTTATTTTATCGATATAATCAAATTATTTTTTTCAGTGTAATGAAAATTTCATTATGAAATATTCTAACGCCATAAATCTTTTCGAAAAGCGACTAATATCGATAGAAGCTTGGAGCACAGTAGGATGAATTCTGCCGCTAGCTTTAATTAGTTAACAACCGGACTTCCGTGTCGTGAGGCTTTCAGCCGTAGTTAATTTTGTAATGCGCCGAATCTCATTATTGTATGGACACACGATTGCACTTGGGAATTTACGTGGCACAATATCTATCTATTGTTTGAACCACATGAAACGTCTATACTTAATTAATTTTTATTGTATTTGATTTAACAGATATCACGGAATATCACGAAAATGTAAACGCCGTGCTTTGTGCACATAAAAAGCGATAGAGAATAATTATTTCCAAAGGCAGCCTGAGAGAAAAAAACGAGTTGAACCATTTATTTTGCGAAACAACGTGTAAAATAATCCCTCTTTAAAAGCTCGTTTTATTTATTTTAATAGCGCCCGATTTAATCAATTTAGAAAGGATTCGTGCAATGTTCCATTTACGGTATAACACTTCGTAAAATTGTATTTACACTCAATACATCGAAAGAATGATATTTTTGGGAACTTTATTCTACATAAAAAGCACGCGAAAGTGTATACCATGTCTATCGTCTATCGTGTGTAATTTGAGCTATTAATACAATTTTTATCCTGTACTTCGTAAAATTTCATTCATTATCATATTACGCGAGAACAAATACCTTTGTACACGTGCTCATTCGGCGCGTGCACAATATACCTTCTGAATACTTTGATTTGTTTATCTTAATCGTTCGCAATTTGGCCAATTTATACAATTTCAGCACCGCACGACAGACTAAAAATTTCACTCGAAAATGGCATCCCTCGGCGTTTTAAGACGAGCATGTAAAAGCCAGGTCTTGTCGAACGGTGAAATAAACGCGATGGAGCACGTGGTAAAATCACCGATGCAACTCGACCTCGCCACGGTATAAGAAATTATGATGCTAATGCACCGAGATACTCTCCGCGAATGCATTCACGTCTCTTGCACTTTTCTCTATCTTCCAGTAGAATAATAGGATGGCTTTCCCACGATTTTCCGGATTTATTCCGTAAACCGGGCACGATTTTGTTCCCGTCGTCGTACAGGAAAGAAATATCCTAACGATATACAATTTATATACACGGTTTCTCCCTCATAAAAATACATTATAAAAATATTCAGATCACACGGCAACTCTTGTAATATTTTGCTTCATTTTTCTCAATAGTTATCGACAATTCTTTTATGTCGGATTTGTCATTCATTGGTCATGCAATTTGATATAACATTTATGTTTCTTTAAAACGAAATACATCGATGAGAGAGTTTTCTCATTAATTTTTATCTCTTTTAGCGATATATTGTAGTTTACGTTTCCAATTTATAGATATTTGTGGTTGGATCGGTAGTTGTATGCGAAATAAATCTACCGATCCAAATCGATGATAATGACGATAGCTATGAATTTCGAGTCTTTCCATACTAATTGAATGAAATTACGGATGTATCTCAAATTTCGATCGCCGCGCATCGTAATTGTAATATCTGTTCTCTATGTTGCATACCGAAACAGCTAATGAATCGATCGAAAAGAGTAACGAAAAGAAGATTCATTTTACGCATAGCTATTGTATAAAATTAAAGTATTTTTTCTCATTGTATCAGAGATGCATTGCATTAATATTGAATGCACATAGCGTAAGTATTAATTTTTAAACTGAAATAGGAATTATATAGTTTTTGTGAAGAATATAAATTCTCTTGTGAATGAAATAATTGCAAATGTTTTCTTTCTTTTCTCTTATATACCATGATATTATCAGCAAAAGTTTTTTCTATGTTCTATTGTAGTGTAATAATACACTCAAAATTTTTTCTATGCAATACCGCACAATAGATTATTGTAGATATCCCGAACCCCATATTCAAGTTATGCGGTTTCTTTTATTTACATTACTTCCCGTCTACATGCCAATATCTGTATTGTGCAAAATTGTAACCAATATTCCGCCGGTCTGCATTTTCCAATTCAGATCTCCGCCAAAGCCCACGCATACATTTTCGCCGTATTAAAGCTTCTTGCACATCTCCGTTTCTTTTCTCTTCTTCGATAAGCTCTTACCAATCGTTGAATACGCTTGCTCAATTTTAAACATGAGATACATTATCTAGAATACAATAACTTTTCCAGCTTTTTCCAATATTATTTATTACTACATTTACTGTAAGATACGTGCAACGAATTATAGAATGTAGCTAGATAAATTGCAGACTCTCTATAAAACTTTTTGACAAATAATTTACAGCAGATAAAAAATCTAGTGTGTAATAATGAATAATGTGTGTAAAAATGAATAATTGTTAATCAAGCTTAATACGTATAAATTAAGAAAAAACAATGGTTAATAATACGAATTAATTAAAATTAAAAAATTAAAAATATTGCTGAAAGAATAATACAGTAATAAATTAACGTGGACGGTTCGACTGTACTAAGCTTTTCTCAGCATGAACAATTAATCAGATAGGAAAGTCAAGACAAAATCATAAATTATAAAATAGATTAAAATATAGATTAAAATTATTTTATATAATCTATTTTGATTTATTTTATGTTAATTTATTAACTTATTCTTCATTTTTAATAATATGATAATAGATATATATTTTTAATCTTCTTAACTATTTCATATTATTGACTACTATTTTTCCTTAAAAGAAACTACATTTTGCTTTTTCCCCTATTTATAACGACAACAATCATGAATTATTTAATGTTGATTTTGTATCTTGAAGATATTTTCTATGAATATTTTCATAAATAAGTTTTAGATTATAACTTTTGCAGAAAATTCTCTATATTTAAGAAAACGTTATTAATTTAGGTCAGCGTTGATTCATGTCAATATGTATATGTAGCTAATATATAGATAGCATATTGACATATGAACCAATTACATTTGGTTTATACGTGCCTATGAAAATGCTTTTGCGTAGATCGTAAAGCATATAACTGCGTACGTAAAACTGCGAATCCCTTTTAGAGCTTTGTGCTAAGATATTTGTATGTCCAGACTGTTTATTATTTCAGCTAGGTCCGTTTCGTTCATTCAGGCCTCCACATATGTATCTAGGCTATGCAATTACAGCATAACTTTAATGAAGCCTAAATATAATCATTAGTACATCTGTCCCAAAAGCATCCAAAATTTTAATTCATTGAGAGCAAGCTTCCATATATGATTCCAAAAATATTAGGAATAAAAATAGAACGTTTATTGAAAGCAAACTTTATATGATTCCAAAAATATTATGAATAAATACAGGATATTCAAAATATGTAAATGGTGTCATATAACGCGCGCGCGTATTTATTTTCGTGCTATTATTCCATTTGGTCAAACACTTCCTTTTTCCACGTCACAAATTTCTAAACGACTGAATTTGTGTAAATAACGCGTTAAATTTACATTAATAATAATAGCGATAATTGGATGTATTTATCCACGCCCACTTACCACTTGCATAATCGATATCACAATTGCGATGACGCAGCGCGCTTAAGCTAAAAGCAGATTTGCATTTCCGGCTTGTCAAATCCGCATGTTCTTATTGTACGTTCTCAGGTGCGCAGAGGATTGCATAGGCTGCAGGACGCGTTGGCCCTGGTAGAAAAAAACACGTTGGGCCTGCAGACAAACTGCGCTTCGGTCGCCGAGGAGGTGGACGAGATTTATCGGAGGCTGAGCAAGGCTTTGAAAGACCGTACGGAACATCTGCGTAACGAGGTCGATCGATACCTCGGCACCGAGCTTAGAGGCCTGATTCAGCTCAAAGAGAATCTCGAATTGGAAATCGCGAATATCCAGAGCAACTGCGATCTGGCGGAGGCGCACATAAATGAAAACGTGCCATGGGACGACGCCGAGCTCCTGGATACAAAGGAGCTCTTCCTGCGTACGGTGGAATTTATCAGGTTTGTCGCCGCGTAATTTCCCTTTTCTTTCTTTTCGGCACCCGCTCGTTAAATCTCGCGCGGCCGTAGTCTTGTTACGATTTATTATCGGCTATCTATTTTGCGGCCACCTTTTTTTACGGCGTCGACCAGAAAGAAATCGTTAAATGAAAGGTTTCCTATCTCCCGCGAGCTATTTTATTTCAATTTCGAATCCCGTAATGACGCTTCACCTCGATTCTATCTATTTTGATTTAATAGCACCCACGTTATTTCGTAAAATTATCACAACTGTTTCTTTTCTAACAGGATTGTTTATCGTACTATTTTTAACTAAAAATTGTATTTACGTTGTTTATTATTGAAAGTATTTATTTTTGATAATAAAATATGATATTTTCTACCTCTCTACAAAATACAATCGTTCAAAAATTGATAACGTACCTTTCAGGCATACCGCAACATAATAAATAAACATAAATCTCTGGGATAACAGCGATACTCTCCAATAAAAAAAAATCGATGGTAATTTGAATTAGCCGAGATTTGTGATAATAACATTGCGAGTATAATATAGCAGAAATTCGGCGTTGGCTAATGTAATTAACGTTCAACATTACCGCGAACACCATTATGAAATATGTAACGCATGCAAAATCTGCTGTAAATCACAGACGCAAAACGCGCCACATAACAAAATTATATGTTCATTAACTCAAGTACAATAATTGTGTTAAGTAAGTGACAAAACATCGAAGGCCGCATATTTCAATTGCGGAAATAGCTGTACGTAAAATCGCGCGATTGCAACACTTCGATAAAATAATACGTTTCATTAATAAACATTGTCGAATTACAATGAATTTTAAAAACACCCGTTATTGTAGAAATCTCGTACATGCTAAACCGAGATTTAAAAATGTCCAGCAAAGCTGTGCAATTCTTTCAGGTGCATTAATTAAACGGAATCGCCATGTTGAAAGTTGAATTCAAGTGGTTGCTCTCTGTATTGTGCCGTTAGCAATGTCGTTTAAGTTTTTTCCAATTATTTTTATTTTCATCAAACGATATTATAAAACTGAAAGTACGCAAAGTTAAAATTAATCATACCTTATCGCGCTCGGTAAAAAAAAATATTTTCACTCATAATATAACATTATGAAATGATAAAAAGATTAATATACATAAATATAAAGAATGCCAATAATCGATCAAAGTTAGGTATTATGAATATAATACATATTCCTAATTTTTAAATTTAATTATCTCAGACTGTGCGCCGAAACGTTCGGACATTAACCACAATCGATCTGAGATGTTAATAATATAAATGAAAATGATAAGGCGTCGAAACATTCGGACATTCCTATATATGAAATAATCTCTCCTAAATTAATTTGGTAAAGAACTTATTGCGAAAACTATTGGCGTTCTTTATATTTATGTATAGCATTTACACGGTTGTATTTATCCTTAAAAAGATTAATATTTCTATCATAATTTCTTTCGACTTCACACAGTAAAGTCGAAAGTACAATCCGCAACATAATTATTATCGATTTTACAAAACTTAATTTGTAGCATTAACGGTCTGTCATATTTCTCAGCGAATGAAGATGGACGATTGTTCTCCGCAGGAACTTCGAATATGAGGCGGGGGATTACAACCGACGAGTCCGCTTCGTGATGGCGCACGATCCGAATCAGCTTGTCCTTCACGTGGCGGGTTACGGCGAATTGAACATTAAACCGGAAAGCGGGAGCGGCGGATTGCTGGGCAGCTCCAGCAGTTTGGCTCCACCGGTGGGTTCGCCTGGTCTTATGAGAAGCAAGAGCGATCACCGTCTCGCCTCGCAATACAGGCAGCAAGAGGAGGAACGGCTGGCCAGGAATCGATACGTTCCCGAATACGAGTAACTATCGCTACTTCTTACGTCTCTCTTCTCGAGAGTGCTCGAATATCCGAGTATTATTTCCCGGTATTACTAGCGGTGCGTAAAATCAATTGCTTTCATACCGCTATTCTAAACACCGTGGGCCGTCTGTTTGCAAGCACGAATCAAATCTTATCTATCGTTGCCGTGCTCTATTTCTTTCTAATATTGATTTACAGAAAAATATTGTGACAGCTTATTTATTTTTTTATAGAATACTTGCTGCAAAAGACTATTACGTTTCCTGCAACCGTGATATCAGCTTAGAGAACGATATAAATTTTTCCGAAAGTAATATCATACATACATATACTTCGTAGAGTTTGGGGAATATGGAATACTGATTAGGGAGGGCAAAAACCGCTGGGTACGAGATAGAACTTTTTTCAAAAAAACTATCTATATGTTTCGACTTTTCGACCAGTACCAGTGTAAGTAGATTATAAAAATAAATGTCCAGACAGGGAAACCATTTCTTCCGCTATTTATTAGTGGGATCAATTTGTCTCGGAGCCGATTTAAAACTGCAAGACGGTCAATGGAGACAAGAAGTGTCCTTGGATCGTTGGACGACCTGAGATCGAGTGCCACTCCTTAATTTATAGCGCCGAGATTCAGTCTGTTTTCGAAACGATAAATCAGCTGTCGTGAAAATTCGCAATTTTATTTACGAAACGAGAACGTGTCGCGCTAATACGCCCGTAAGATGACCATGAATAATTTGCTGCTCGTACAATCGTGACCGATATATTTCTTCGAGAATCGAACCGTGGGGTAAAAGCGTTCCCGGCACACGCGCGACGTTTTATTGTTTATTGCTACGAAGGTGTAACAGATTGGACCGATAATACGGGTACCATGGCTTTTTGCTGCGAGGCGTTAGATTAGGAATGCCATCGGTGCGCAACAATGATTGGTACGTGCCTAGCAAGTCTCGAAAGTACGAGAGGGATGTATATTTACGGTACGATTAGACTAATCAGGTTAAAATCGAATGATATCTTTAATCGGATTCTTTTAATTAGATACTTTTTTGAAACAGCTATTACAATTTTTAATATCTTAACTTTGCTCGAATTTAATTTTACTATCAATCTTTATTGCACCCTTCATAATATCAATTATTTTCTAAATTACAATTTTCACATGCTTCTCTTACACACAATGTATTAAATAATGTAAGCGTCTGCGACTATTAATTTTAATTGAAACGGTCGTGATATAGGGAAAAATATTGCACTTTAATTAATATACGTTTCAATGTTCGATAAAAGATACATGTAACAGAAAATAATTTCAATCGACGGTCAGATTTCAAATGTATTTATTAATATTTATATCTTAAAAAGGCTTGAATTAACATGATCACAAAATTCTTTTAATATACTAAGTTCAAAAATATTAATACAGCTCGTAATATGCAGAGCAATATGTAAAAATGAAGCTAACAATTAAATTTAGGATGTTATAAAAATGATAACAGAGCTGTCTTTGTTAATACGGATTATCGTATTAATAAATTAATCGACATTTCATATTCTAAATTTGCTCATTGTTAGTCTTATTTTTAATATAAATTTATACAACGTTAAAAATTTCCTGTAACAGACTTTATCGTATTTTGAAGTACGTCGAAGAAAAGTGCACTTTCTGCAAATATCTCGCGTATTTATTCTAGCGTAAGTTATAAATACGCTTGGTTTTGGCATTTTCTCATTTTCTTCGTCTCTCTTTCTCTTCCTGTTTTTTCTTTCTTCCTCTTTCTCTCTCCTTCTATTTCGATTCACAGGAACCGCTTAAAAAATGCCTTTAACTTGGAATAGGCGCGTCGGGTTTAATTGCTGTTTGTTTCATACAATGTTGGTCGTTAGAACATCTCGCGAGGCCGTTTTATTAAGCGGCCTCGTCAAAATGTAAATTAAATGCTTCAGGTACGCGCAAGCACGTACTTTTTAGTAATTAACGCTCTCGCGTACTGGAAAGAGCTGCTTCACATGCGGCAATCGCGGCAGCCCTGCCTCGTGCCGTCTGTATTCCGTTTGTTATATAATTACGCCAATCGTGATCGTTTTGCGCGATTATTACAGAAAATACCATTATTTGCCGTGGTGAAGGTCTCATCAATTTGTCGATCGCGCGCACGAACCAGATATCGCTCGAATTGTAAATGAATCTCGTGCGATGCATTTTCACTGTCGGCGAAACGTGCGCGCGTTGCGGTGTTTATTTTTGACACTTGCCTTGTGATATTCGAGTGAAAATTCCATTATTCGTCCTTTTTTTTTCACAATACGTTCTGAAAAGCGCGCGTTTCAATCGCTCTCTTTTTGCGTGAAAAAACTGAAATATACAAACGACCGTTATTGCCGTCGGAATTTCTGGCGTGTGTACTTTGCCAACGTTTTGAAGCGTGACAACGCCTGATATCATATCATGGAAATGTAGCTAAATGGTTAAGTGCTTAAAATCGATAATACCCGATGATACTACAAATATATAGTGCAAATGCAGATAGACGGATTAAAAACTCAAGAGATTTTATATGAAACGTATGCGTTAATGCGTATGTGTTTTATACATATTTTTATACATATAATTGTAGCAAATAACACTTATACATTATTAAGAGATTTAGAGTAAATATATTAGGTAAAGTTATTATTTAGGCTTATTCAGATCAAGATAATTCTATATTTATTTAATAATTTGATAAAATTTATTTAACAATTTATAAATTTAAAATGAAGTGTTTTAACGTTCTATATTAATACTTTAAATTAGAAAGTACTATTAATAACAAAAACTTTATTGTATACATTTTCTCAGTATAATACTGTACTGTTGAAATAATTAATACTTTGAGAAGCCATTGTTTGCTGCTTCTTAAAGTATTAATTGTTTGAGGGATTCTTAAAACTCTCTCACTTAAAAATGCAAGACGTCAACTTTTTTAATAACTACAGCCCTCGGTCTGAAAGTGGTTAACTCTCAAAGCTCACATCTAATTATTTATCTTTGGCCATCCGCTTTGGGCGGATTTTATTGCAATCCGTGAACAAGGTTACTTCTCACAGAGGATTTTGTGGAACGCGATATTGCGATTCCTCCGACGAATTGCTGACGTTTTAAATTTAATTAAAAAACTGACACATATCCTGATTCTTTTAACAATTTTTGATGAAGATCATTATTGTATAGAGTGAGTATATATCCTGTTTCGAGGTTTTTATTGATTTTTCGCTACGCGTACCGCTAAGTTGCCTCACAGTTCTTGTAAATTCATTAGTAAAGAACATTGTTTTTCTCATGTTTTTTTTATTGAAAAAATAAGAGAGAAGAAACATCGTACAGAATTTTTTAATTTTTATAAGCGCATATAATAAATTAAATGTTTTTTATTAAATGCAAGAATCAAACTTGTTATTTAATTTAAATTTTTCATTCACTTTTGGTTAAATTTTTAGATACCTTTTAGTACTATTATAACCTTTTAAAATTGATTTTAACTAACGAACTAAAATTTAGTTTTCAATTACAATCTTTTATTTAAACAAATTTTCACATATATATATTCTCTTGCTATTGGAATATTACGTATGGCACGGTCGCTGACAGCATTCTTTGATGTTTAAAGGGTTAAAAGATAAGGGCGAAAATTTGATAGCACCTATCAACATGGTATTGGGAGAATATCATGGAAGATGATATAGGAGTAGAAGATGGAGATTCCCTAATATCATTTCGTTCTGTCATCGGCAATCCTCTTGAACATCCTCTCGAATCGAACTGAGATAATCTTACTATAAAGCAGGTCGCGTTTCAGCCTAGGTAGGGCTTGTCATTGACCCCCCTCCCTTGTCATAATTTCAAGTGAGATATATCAGAGACACGTGTTCTTGCGAGATCTGCCCATGAAAATGATAAGTTGTTATCCGTCTTCAGAGAGAAGGGAGTTTTTTTATATTCTCACGATCCAAGTTGATAACTCGTGTCTGACCTTTGACTGACTTAATCTACTTACACTATATCCCATAATATCCAATATAAGATAGACATCTTAAAGCCTTTTCTTATATAATCTATATAACGTTAAATAAAATTACGATATTAATATTCTTTATAAAAAATTTTCACATTTTTGAAAACATATTCGCTAGCATATTAACGGTGCAATATTTATTAAAGATTAATATGGGATAAATTGAAGCACATCTGAAATGAAATATATCCAGAGGTGCTTCGATTTTTTATTACATAAGCAGGGTTTTTCAACCGGTCTCGCAACAATTTTAAAAAAAGTAAAAAGAGCAAAAAATTTAGAAATAAATAAAAAAGCGAGTAAAAAGCGTAAAGTAACCAATTTTAAAAAGTGTGAAAATTACCTGAGTTATATTATGTGTGTTTACTCTCATTTTAAATTTTAAATAGCAATATCATTTCAAGCGAAGCAATAAAATCACTTTTTAAAAAATACAAATTTAAACTTTAAAAATTTACTGTTTATTTCTGAATCGTGTAGTCTCTGATAAAAGACTTATGATGAGTACTAAAGCGTGTGCACTTCATGATGTACCTCAAGAAATTTAGCTCATTACTTAATATGCCGCGAATTGAAAAAGGTTGAAAAATACTGCTTTAAAATTTTACTACAAATCATTAAAGGTTAAGTCTTAATTTGACAAGAAGCACTTATATTTCGAACGATCAATCAAAAACATCTAATTATAAAGCTATTTATTCCAATAATAATTTATCGATCCGCTTTCAATTCGTGAAAGTGAATTGCCAGTGATGTAAGTAGAAATCACTGTCGGTGATTTCTCCAGATCCAGAATCACTTTCTCGGTTTTAATTACCTAATTGACGTCGTCGCAGTACGCGTGTGTATGCGTGTGTGTATGTGTATGCCAGGTACGATGCCCCGGAGTATGAGGTACCCAGGAACAAGTCCAGATATAGGAGTCGATTTATGCGGCATCGGGACGGTGACGATTCCGACGGTGACTCCAGATCGACGGTGAGATTCACGTCGGCGCCGCCGGAGTCGTCCAGCTTACGGGAACGCGTTCTGGATACGGAGGATGCCGCACGCGGTCCGTTGTCCGGTATATTTCGCCTGACGGACTCGCCACGAGTCATGAAGAAGCTGCAGGAGTGCGAACGGGCTGGCAAGCGGAAGAAGGAGGAACCTGCTAGTCAGCCCATGCCGCAACCACAACCACCTAAGCCGCAGGTTAGAACAACAAGTTTCTAATAGCATAAATATTAAGGTCTTCAGAGCTAAAGTGGGTCAAGATCGAAAATTTCAATTTAATCGCGCTTTTGTCTGATCTGAAAATTAATCTTGTAGATGAGACTCTGCAGAAAATCCAATCTGTTTTAGCTCTGAACTAGCTTGTTGAATTGAAACTATTTAGCAGATAATGTATAATGCCCGTATAAAAAATGCCTGCGATAATTTTAAACGAAAAAAATTTAATATTTAGATAAGATTAAATGCGGTGAAGAAGAGTTAATTTGCTGCCTAATAATGTTAATCAAAGTAATAATATCGTTTTTGCACGAATTGCATTTAATATGGTGATTCGTTAACAAGAGTTTGAGAAAATAATATAATTGCTGTATTTTTGGTAAGTATACATACATTCTACATATTTCTTTATTTCTATGGTAAATAATTAATTATCTATCAAATAAAAGTCGAGATTATTATTAATATCGCAAATATTTAAAATTATAGTGCATTTTGTTGGGCAAGCTCAACGCGACGTTGAATATCTCGAAATAAAATATGATATTAAACATATAACGCGCACGTTCTGGAGTAAAAAATTGTTATACATGTCATAAATATATACAGCTTTCATTGCTAATAAAAATTCAAGGTGACAGTGTAATCCAGATACATTTGCTATATGCATACGAATTACATTTTTATGTTATATATGAATTCTATATAAGGCCTCTCTCAACCCTTCGTATATAAGTCGTCTTAGGTCGCTCAGTTCTTATATTGGGATATCGATTTGCTTTCCTCCCATAAACATCCGTTGTTATGATAGGTTTCGCATTAAAAACGTGACTGCCCCTAGCGCAGTGTCATTATTTTAGTAATGTGTACTCGAGCCAAAAAATCCCTGCAAAATTATATCGATGTAGAGATAATACTGAAGAATATATGAACGCGACTGTTGATAAAAGCTACATTGATACATTGTTTCGCGTTTCGTGAAAACAATAATTTTATAAAAATTCGCATCAATAGATCCGTACCAATCGACGTATAATCCTCGACGAACATCCGTGTTTTTTTTATCGATGTAACACATGGTTACATCATTGACCTATTTGTTTTCCTCCCTCGACGTTCATATTTTAAATGTTGATGCAGCACGGAGCTCAGTTGATTGAATCGGACAATCGAGCAATCGTTCGGCATCTATATGTAAATCCTCTACAGCATAATTTTTTTTACGCCGAAAAATGTACATCCTCTACAGAGAAGCGTATCAGTGAATTTAATCGCCGTTCCCTGCTTATCGATATATCGTATATCATCGCGTCGTATCAATATTTAAACGGCTAAATGTCAACGATACAGTTAATTTACGGCCACGAGTGTGTTCAGTAAACGTTGTTTAATCAATCTTGCACGCACTTTTAGAAAACACTCGGAAAAATACCGAGATCTCTATAATTTGATAACACGCACATTGTAAAAAAATTACATGTAGAATTACAACAATTATAATAAATTCTAATTTTGGGATTTACAATTGCAGATGCATATTTACACAAGTAAAGTTACAATTTTATTTATTTGTAAAATGTAACAACACACAACACAAATAAAATTATTCCTTATAGTAATTAAACAATTTGCAATCGAATAATAATTAAATAAATTTACAATTGAAGTTAAGTTTATAGAAATATTTACATAATATTTCGCCAACAAATAACGTATAATTTTTCTTAAGCTATGTACAAACGTAAAAACATAATATATGTGATATTACTCTACTATATTATATTATATTTTTTATTAAACTTTGTACATTTAAAAAATATGAAATACTATTGCTATTGTAATTTTTCATTTTTTGTAAAAATTTCAATTCTCAATGTTTCCACTATAAATTGTATAATTTTTATATTCATGCAATTTTACATACTTTTTTTACAGTGCTGATATTAATGATACACAACACGAAAATCTAAAGTACGTTAATATCTCCGTGAAACAAAAAACATTTAACGAGACAATTCTGCATTTTCTTTTCAATTTATATGTATAAGATTAGAAAATTTGTAAAAATATATAAATTATAATATAACATTATTATATTGAAAAAATCACGAATCTTTGATTTGGGGTTTATAAATTTTGATATTGCGCTAACAATGGATGATTACATAATTAAATAATTAATTAATTACATGGAAAGAACTTTTGCTGAAGTATATAAAAATTTAGTTAGATACAGATCCTAAAATAATTTTATTGAACCATCAAAATAATTATTTGGGAAAGTCAAACATGTTGAGCAATGTTGCAAAAAATTTCAACATTTTAGCAACCAACTTAAACGTCTTGCATAATACAACTCTCAAATTAGTTACTAGAATATCAACATTTTTTTCAACATTACTCATCATGTTTGAGATTTCTAGATAATTATTTAGTGGTCCAACAAAGTTATTTTTCGTATCTAATTAAATTTTTAGATATATCAGCAAAATCGTTCTTTCTGTGTAAGAACACGACTTAAATGGGTGTTTGTGAATTTGACGACATCGTATTTATTTTTGACAGTGATACCTCCGCACTTTTGCGCAAGAGAATCCCTTATTATGGCAGGAGAAATAAATGGATGGGCGCACGAACTCTCCATGCTGACGGCCAGTGCAACGAACGAAAATAGTTCGATGTCGCGCATCCCATTGTTCGGATGATAGCGGCTGATGTCAAAACGCTCAATGAACGTACAAACACAAACATTAACTCATACATGTAACGAGAACTGTTATCTTAGTCCACGATGATTTATGTGAAGTGCTACATATGAATGAGTGTCATTCCTACGAATGCGGTCAACAAAGTGCCAATCATTATGTGAAATATATAGCGTCAATTTTCTATGATTTCGTGCATATCAGTAAAGCGATAGCCAATATAACACGTGTGATATATAGATAGGATATATTGATGGTAGTGATAGAGAGAAAGAGTAATATATCGAGTGAGTTGACCCATATCATCGAACGTTGTATTTTATATGAAATACTGCGAATGTAAGGTAACAATACAATAATTTTACACTTTTATTATTACGTTTCATCATTATACACCACCCACTTAATCCCGTATCACGCACACCTGCTTATTATCGTGCTCGCGGGGCGTATCGTATAATTACTGTGCCGATTCACGTACGTATTAGCCACCTGTCGCGTACGTGTCATAACGTTGCATTTAAATGCACGTGTGGATTTCGCGGCCCCAATAAATCGCTCGGCGCATCGAGCGGCTGGCGCGAACGAACATCCCCGATCGTAAACCCCCCGACCAATCGAGGGGAATGATTCGGATTGCAAATCACGAAGGGAATTGAGCGAGGTTCGATCGCGATTATACCGTGGTGGAATGTGACGGAACGCCGCAGTAATTCTCGCCATAAGTGATTTTTTGACGCGCAGGTACAAGTGAGAAAGGTACCGACCGCGATGGCGAGACAGACAAGCGAGGACGACGAGATCTCGAGGATCAAGAAGCAGAACAAGAATGCCGCGGCGACTGCCGTCCACCCCGAGACGGTGGAGGAGAGACAGCCGATGCCCGCCCCCGTTCATCCGCCGCCACGGGAACTTCCGGAACGGGAACCCGAGGAACAGCCGGTCAGAAGACCGGCTATTGTCAGGTAAACAAACAAATCTGTCAAATTTTGTTATAAAAATTCTAATAAGTTAAAGACCGCTAAATGAATGAAAAGTGCTAAACATAATCATGAGGTATTGATGGAGCAATGTTTTTCGCATTAAATTCTTTGCAGTATTTTAAGATGCTGGTAACATTATTATCAAATCGACGAACAATTTAATTTGTGAAATTATTATTTCAGTTTGTGATTGCATTGCAAATCCGAGAATAATCGGCGAGCAGTTTATACAGAGTGTCCCACGGAAAGGTTGAAACTAATCAGCTGTCATTTTCGAAGGTATTCAGTTATTGAAAAAACAAAAATTGCGCTGAAAAGAGGAAAGTCTGCAATTTTTAATGAGTATAAATAAAATTTAACAAAATGTTTGTGTATTTTTAATAATTGAATATTTTCGAAAATGACAGCTGATTAGTTTCAACACCTTTCCGTAGGACACCCTGTATAACTGAAAGATGTATTTAAAAATTTACATAGAAATATTATTAAGCATCAATATATAGCCTCGATCGTATAATTTGGTGTTCTCTTACTTATTTGATAAAAATTCTAGCAACACAAAGTTGACAAAACAACTATTTAGTTAAAAAGTTCTACAAAAAATTAATATATCCAATAAACGCGCGTGTGATTATTTATGAAAAAAATTCTCATATCTTATAACATTTTAAAAAATTTGTTATATTTTAAATTTATAAAGATTTCTGAAGCAATACATTAAATCTTTTCAGATTTTATAAGTTTTTCCTTTAAAAATTATAGAATGAGAAAACTTAGAAGTTTTAAAATATTTCAAAATTCTCGTATGTGAACAATTTTACAAAAAAAATGTAAACTTTCTTGGCACTTCTGAAAAATACTTCAATTTGTATAAAAGATCTGAGAAACTTTCTAAACAGTTATAAAATTATACAGAAAGCTTGAAATTTACATAAAAATTCTGAAAAATTGTATACGGAATTCTAAGAAAAATTTTCGTCAGAGTGCGCGCAACGATGTGGGATGATACAATAGTTCTCCAATCAGAACTTCACCTTTGACGTCATACCGAAACCGTGTTTACAAAATTAAGACACTCGCGACGTGGAAAACTCATTAAAACCACTTTACTTGATTCTGGTGAAAATTATTTATTAAGACGGTAAATCAACATGGTCCCTCGAAGGAATGAAAGACTCAAAGATCTGTTTGCTCACGTAGATATTAATCACACCGACGGTAACCACGAGTCAACTAGCAGTACTCACGTTACATCGAACTTAAGCGCGGAGTTCGCGGCGCGACGTTGTTACGGCGCAAACAAGTAACTTGTTCGAGTTCTCTGCGTTATTAACATGCTTGTTTGCAATATTGTTGCTCGCGCAGGAGAACTTCGGAAACTCACGCACCCCCCGCGGCCAGGAGTGCCTCGTCGGACTCGAGCACCGGCTCCGAGAGCTCGGGGGGATCAGGGATACGTAGTACGGGCGCACCCTTTACAGCCGAGGAGATGAAACAGAAGTACCTGTCGAGAGCACCCCCGACTAGCACAACGACCACTATCTCCACCACAACCGGTAGAGAATCATCGAACACTGCTCCGCCGACTCCCAGACCGCCGTTTCAAAGCCGTTTTTTAGGCGCAGGTAATTAAGTAGGCAATAATTAATGTAATTCTTCAAAATTTTAGAATGCTATCAATATTGAATTATACAGTGCTAGTGATACGTAAATTTTACGTTCAAGAAAATAGGCCAGTCTTAATTAATGTAATAATAAAAATTTTAATAACGAGATATTTATAATCTAGATCTTTATAAACACAAATAATCTAACTATTAACTTGAAAGGAAAGAAGAAAGCATCACTATCGAATTCAATCCTGCTGACTAAAGGCATAGTTTAGCGCCCAATGATCTTACACACTTGCATGTCAAACTTTATGCACGATAGCGTTCTAAGATTAAAATCCAAAGCTTCGAAACAGACGAGACAGTAGTCAAACTTAAAATACAAAAGTAATGGTGCGATGACGATGCTATAAAAAAAATTGCTTCTTTTGTGAGAAAAAAGTATTTCGAATTTTTTTATTTGCGAAGAATAAATTTTTTTGAGATGATAAAATATTTATAAACTCAGAAATTAATAACTTCTTGCTATTACCAAGATTTAATTATTGCAACGACATAAGATTTTGTTGTCGATTCTTTTTTACTGAGAGACTTTTTTGCTTATAAAAGACTTTCATTAACTATCAAAAGGAGAAAACAATTACAATTTAATAGATGCATGTACCGCGCTAGCGTCAAACCCAATAGGGTTGTGCATAGAATTTATTTACATGTTGCAGCGGAATAGAGAACAATGCAATGCGTAGTAATCGAAGGGATGACCCTTTTATCATGTTCGTAGCTAGAACCCGTTCTATCCGCGACACGTCCCAATTTCGTTGTACGCCTATTACCCATTGTTTATACGAAGAGAATTGAAAGCACGTCTCTACTCGCTTCGTACGCTAATCCCGCCTAGTTCATCTATTGTGTCGTACTTCTCAGTACTCCGTTGAACACCTCGCGAAAATTGGATGTACAGACAAAATTTGCGTTTAACCTTCTGCCTCTGTTCCGTGAAACTTAATTCGCACAGAAAACTCCGTCGTTCCTCAGAAACGCGAAAACAAGACTTTCAATATATGAAATTAAGTAAAATGTTATTAAGATATTTTTTAGATTGCCAATACATGATATTGGTTAAATATTTAAATAAATAGTTTATTTGAAATTCTGATAAAAAACCGTTTTGATGAAAAAATTTGTGGAAATTTAGAATCTGGATAAAAAATTATTTTAATGAGAAATAGATAGCTTTTTAAAAAAATAATTAAGACAATTTTATAATTTAAACAAAAATGAGAGAATTTTTATTTAAACTATAAAATTGTATTGTTAAATATAAATATTAACTTTATTGAACTGTCTTTATTTACTGTTTCATATGTATATGACATTCACTTTTATACGGAAAGTATAAATTTTCAATTTCAGTCACTTTTTGCGGAGACTATACCTGATTCAACCTTAACAAACAAACATCGGGCTCGAAGGTGGTCCATGTTCGATCGCGGATGTCCGTATATCCATCACAATCGCCCTGCAATTCCGTATGCGAAGGGTGTGCGTAAAACACTGCTGCGCGGAGCGCCACACGAATGTGCAACGAATTGCAACGTTGCAATTCGAAAATGTAATCGCGATGGTGAGCCTGGTGCGATATTCTAAGATTCGAAAGTTCATTGAAACTGGCAAGCCACCGGCAAGCAAGGCAAAGGCGCGGAACAATATACGCGGCACGATAATTACGTTATCCATTCAGTGCTCTTAGTTAATGTTGTCGCTTCGCTTTTCCGACGCTGTATCCCGGTTGTCATATCTCCGTTGAAACTCACGTTAAGTCGGAGGCAACGTAAGCGAGACACGCAGGCGGACGTGGCGATATTCGCGTTACTATCTCTTGTTTCCGACCTCTTCCATTGGTCGATATGATCAGTCTGCTTTCGCGTCGCGTTTCCTTCAACTGTGAATATGTAGACGACATAAAGGAAAGACAACTCTCTTCCTGAGATTGCATAAACGCATATTCCCATGCACCGCGACAGGTCCTCACCGCTTGTCGCTCACCCTATCCTTTATCTGATTGTGTTCCTTAGATCAACATTACATTTCCTTATACAATTAAAGCCAAGACTAATTTTCCTGTAAAATGCAAAATAACTTCGATCATGAAAAGAAAACTCTAAAATTTATTTATTAAAGGTGCTTAAATGTTATTTTTTAATTCGATCCTACATTAATCATAAATCGATTAATCGATGTACGCTTATTACGACAGCCAATCAGAAATGTCAAGAGTACTACTCGCAAAAAGCTTGCAATTAACTTGCGACTAATATTGAATCAACTTTATATCATTTATCATTAATTACGAAGTGCATACTGATTGTAAGAAAAGAAAAATAATTGTAATTATTATCTATAATTTAATTATAATTTAGTCACTTTTTAATTCCAACTATATATTTTTTGGTAAAACTATAAATTATTATTAATGATATTATAGCAGCAATAAAAATGGAGCTCCCTAACTATTATATAATTATTTTACCATGCAATTAAAATACTAAATATTTTTTTCAGTGCAGGAAATTTATCGTAATTGTAAATTAAATTCTACATATAATTCCGTCAAGAGATTAAAAATGGAAATCACATCAACATGAATTTTTGGATTTTCAGGTAACCGTGCGGCTCCACCACCGCCGGTTCAGACGCCGCGTGAGGAACCAGTGGCGAAGAAGAAGGAAGAGGAGGAGGATGAAGACGAAGTTTTCGGACACAGAGGAAGAGTCGGAAACAGACGGTCATCCGTCCAAGACTACTCCAACTGCGACTTCCGTTGCTTCTCAAGATCGTCAGAGAAGCGAATCAGCCATGGCGCGCACTGACATTGGGCCTCTTCTTGCTCGCAGCGCTGAAGCTAGAAGAGGAAGCAAGGAAGATTCGCCTTCCACGAGGCAAGTATCTCTCATTTCTAAGAACGGATCCGTACGATAAGCTTAATCCTTAACTAATATAATAAAAAAAATGTCAATTTTAATCTCGAAAAAGATATCTTGGAAACTTTTGGCTATTTTATCTATATAATTGTGAATAAGAAGCTATGTTGCATTTTAAGTATATGAGAAATAATATTTATTTAGATTACAATTGTGATATTATATCATAGAAATTTATTCATAGCAGTTGACAATTAATGACTTTTCAAATCTTCATTTATTCGTGTTATCAAATATAAATAAAACTATGCACAATAAAGATTGTAAAAAGAGTTGATAATTGAGATAATAAAAAGATGGAATATTAAGAAAATATAGAAAAATTAATGAAAATTTTCTGCAGAGAAAGAGAGAGAGAGAAGTTATATTTATCATAATGCAAACCAAAAAATGTAAAATTAAATATTTACTTATTCAATATCTTAAATTTTTTTCTTTTTTATTTGAAATTGAGAAAATTAGCTATAATTCTATCTTTTTTTTACTCTTCTTTGATACATAGTTCTCAAGTTATTATATCAATCTATTCTCTCTCTCTCTCTCCTCTCGGTACTCAAAAATTCAATGTTGCCAATTTGTACGTTCGCTGCAGAAACTATCACGGAGTTTCCGTGTGTTAGCGTGTTTATTTGTGCTCGTTACGAGAACGGCAGCATCGCGTACACGCATCCCGACGTTCTCTTCCGTCGCTTTCGAGAGCATACGAATACGCTCACTCGCGTTGAATTTCAAAGTAAGCTTACCCCACCCTTTCCCTCAACAGTCGCAATCTCCTAGCCCGAAACTGTGGCCTAAGGAAACGAGTGACGGTTGAGAGAACAGGGAGAAACCAGGCAAAGCCGTAAGTGCTTTCCCTGGCCTGACCCGACGACTCTCTCCGGCTTTTGTAAAAGAATCACGTGGCCCGTTCCCCATCGCGGCCGCTGCTATCAGAAACTTTCCACGTAGCGTTGCGGAAACTGATTAGTCGCTCAGTCTGGCGATGAATTGTAATACATTAGGACGCGTAAATTTGATCGTGAGCACGCATTTGCTCTCGAGAAGCGCGTGATAGAACGGTACATCCATTTTCCATCTAAGAAATCAGTTAACTTTTATTTTTATTAATTGATTGCTTGATTAAAATATCATTTTGTTCAAATTTATTTAGCTAGAAATTGAGAAACTTACTGTTCTATAATTTCTAGTTACGTTAGACGATTAATTGTATCATTATATCTGATTATATAAAATTATAAAACGACATCGTGTAATCGTCGTTTATCTCTTATGTAACTATAAATCAAATTAATTAACTAGATGTTGAGTTATATAGACTCGAGGTATATAGAATAAGATAAATACATGCGGTAACATCATCAAAGCTCATTAATCGTGCAATTTCGCGTCTCAGTTCTAATGGAAGACTCGCGATATGCTTGCCTAACAGCCAGTGGCAGTTAGGAAATAAACGTGACCTCAATCTTAAAGAGAGAAAGATTATCGAAGCCGACGTGCTATTGTACGTCCCTCGATGAGTTGCGTTCTCAAGAACGCAATCAGGCCAGCACCCAAAAGCACTTATCCCTTACTAGTAGTAGTAGTATTAAACCAGAAGTCCAGAGTAAAGAGAGAAAATTTCTACCGATCACTCGTGTCTCAGGTATTCGTCGCCGAGGGGCAGCCCCGCGCAATCCGTGACGACGATGACGACGACGATGACGACGCCGAGCGGCGGCGGCGGCACCGCGATGACGACTACGTCGACGCCGGGCGGCTACACCAGCAGGTTCGTAGCGCACGTAGCTCACGGTCAAACGACTGCTCATGATGAGGCCACTTCTAATTCCAGTAACCCCCTCGACCGTAATCGTTTTAGGGCGTTTAGCGCGGACGGTACCGACGAAAGGTGCTCGGCCGGTCGCGTCGACGACGCTAAAGTAATCGCGGCTACGGCTACGGTCGCGGATTCCACTTATGACATCGACGCCGACGGGGACGCGCTTAAACCACAGGCGACGAACACTAGCTCGGCACAAACGGACGTTATTACGGACAAATCGACAACCTCATCTACCTCTTCCTACCTCGCGATAAGACAATCCGAAAGTCTCTTCGAGGATAACCGCGGCGATAGTCGAGTTGCGAGTGTGACACCCGAAGACGACGACGCATTAGTGCAAGATCGTTCCGGGAACGAAGAGAGTCTCAGCCGGGACGAATCTACTCTCGCGACTGAAGATGATTCCGACACGAGAAGAAGCGACACAGAAGAAATGACATCTGAAAAGCGTGACTTTGAAGACGCTCCTGGTTTCTTCCGAATCATCGTAGAAGACGTTGATGCGTCTGTCGCCGAAAAGCCTATGTTGGATTCTACGAATCAAATTGTTGAGATGATCGACGAGCGCAGAGATCGCTCGAGGTCCAAAGAGTCTCACAGCATCTCCGAATGTTCGAGTTCCGTTAGTGGACGAACGATGTCCTACAGCGAATCGGAGAGTGATTCCGAAAGTGGCTCTGAAGAAGAAAACGAGGAGGAAGACGAGTCTCGAGATGAAAACTGCAACGTGAAAAATGAGAAAAAGGAGAATAAGAAGGACGATAGAAATTACGACGATAACGATAACGCGGAAAACGAGGCTAACGAGGAAAATAAAGAGTCCTCGAACTCCGACAGTGACGAGGAAACCACGGTACTGAGTATTAGCTCGAACATTCAAGGCGAAAGCAGCGCGACGCCTGACGACCGTTATGAGAGGGATCTGAAGCGCCGGAGCGCCTCTATAATCGACGAGAGGAGCATCGAAGAGATGTTCGACGACAATGGCTGGGTGGTGACGGAACAGGATCTAGAGCAGGATTTACCGAAAGATTTGCAAACGGTATCCACGATCCTGTTGGATTTTGAATCTACGGTCGATCGCCCATCTGAACAAACTGCGGACTCTATCGGCGACGCCAACGACGCAGCGGGGACACGTACCGACGAATTTATTCCAAGAATTATCGATGAGAGACACAACGAGATGTCTAGCAACCTCGAGGATTCCTCCACACGGTCGAGCATCACTATCGACGACGCTGAGATGATTCCCTCGAGCGAATGGCAAGAGTTCGAGGTTCCGCCGAGAAGTCGCGTGTACAGACAGAGCAGTCTGGGTAAGAACGGATGGCTGGTCTCCGACGAATCGGAAAGCG